GGCCTCAAAGTTTGGAGACGGGGGGAGCCAGGAAGCACTTTATAAAGAGAGTCAAACCATTACAAACTCATACAAGACATATATGTGTATAAATACACAACATTAGCAGCTGCTCTCTCCCCGAGGGAGGGGCGGCAACATGCGCTCACGTGACCCAAAGAACGGATCGGCCAAATGGACGGACGTATCTGCCGATACGAAACAGGGAAAAAAATGTAAATATCGGCCAAAAATATCGGCCGGCCGGTGTATCGGTCGACCCCTAGTTTTTAGTTAGTTATCGTTTTTTTTCTTCATTTTATTACAGTTTTTATTTATTTTTAGTTAACTAAAATGTTTTTTCAATGTCAGATTTCATTATTTAGTTAGTTTTATTGAACTATAATAACCCTGGATCCGACGGGGCGTCGCTGTAAACTAACATCTTCCTGTTTCCAACAGGGTCACATCCAGCTCTGTCGGCTCAGATACGAGGCGGTTAAAGACCTCCTTGAGAAACCCTCCACTGTGCTCATCTTCCTCGGAATGGAGAGGATGAAGAACCCCTCCTCCTCGCAGACCTCGGAGCCTCCGGTCTGGTTCGCCGTCAGCACAGACGAAGACCCAGCCGAGCTCCTGAGACGCTGCAGAGAGGCGACCTGCTCGTTCCCGAAGAGCGGGAACAGAGACCTGCTGAAGTTCAGCGAGGAAGACGCAGGTGAGGAAGACTCAAACGTCCTGTTTCCTCCTCGTCCACCTCTGTCTGAGCCCTTCTGTTGTTCAGGCGTCGTGGCGCAGGCTCGGTCCGTGCTTGCCTGGCACAGCCGCTACAGTTTCTGCCCCACGTGTGGCAGCGGGACCCGCCTGGAGCAGGGGGGCTACAAGAGGAGCTGCCTGAACTCTGAGTGCAGGAGCCAGCAGGGGGTCCACAACACCTGCTACCCACGAGTCGGTAAGAACCTCCAGACTTCCTCCTGACTGGTCAGATAGCAGCGCTCTACTACCTGATGCTGTTAAAGATTAATGAACAGGTGGACCTCTCTGATGTACCAGTAGAGGGCGCTCTCATACCAACAAAACACATGGACCATGATTTTAGAGCCACAAATACTTCATTTCATTTTAATAATGACCAAAAACAAAAAGAAGCTTTAGGTCATGGATGGATATCTGAAATGATGGAAGGGGCCACAATTTTTTTCTCGACACCGGAAGTTCACATAGTTCTGCACACGTACCCAAATTTACTAAAACTGCCATTTTAAAAATATTTATGTACATATATGTTTGCTAAACCAACATACCATACAGTAGCATGTATAACAATTGTACTCTTGTTTAATAAATATGACTGCAAAAGGTTTGAAGCAAAAACACTTAATTTAATGAACTGAAGTTTAACAATTCAGTTCAGTTCAATTCAGTTTATTTATATAGCAGCAAGTCACAACATATGTTGTCTCAGGACACTGTACATAAAAAGAACAATGTAAAGAAGAAACCAGCAGATTGTGTTGAATCACTTCATCACAGTCTCCCATCCTGAGCAAACGGTGGAGAGGAAAAACTCRCTGCTAATCAGGAAGAAACCTCCAGCAGAACCAGGCTCAGGACAGGAGACCATCTGCCTCGACCGGCTGGTTGGAGGACAGGAAAGAGACACAGGTAAACACAGAAGAACTGGTCCAGGACTGGTCCAGGACTGGTGTGACAGTTCTGGTTATTTGATGCTTTATTGTTATTAATTTTGAATGATAGAGTTGGGCGCCAGTCAGGTCTCCCTCTTGACATGTAGGATATTTTTAACCAGTTTGAGATGTTACTGTATTTAACTTATATATATTTGGTTTAGAGTTATTTTTAATTTAACCATTCACACAAAGACATACATTTATATGAAATAAAACATATACCCTTTCAACCTTAATCAGTGACAAATGTTTTAAACAAAAGAAAGTGAGCACAAACAATGGAGTCTTACTTTTCAAAATATATTATTTACAAACAACAAAAAAATACAAATACAAAACAATACAAAATATATCACCTCCCAGTGTCCATGTGTGGTGTTAAAACCACTGTTCTTCAAAAGTTCAGGCTTGGCTAACAAGCAAAAGTTCAGGAGGCTCAACTCCACACAAAAATAAGGTTGACTTGTCTTTACAAGTGCCAGACTTGATGCAGGTCAAGGTCATACCTGACAGATTCCAAGGGAGAAAACAAAACACTCCCAAACAAAAACCACACCCACAAAAAGAAACTCCTCACACAAAAACTATTCACACACAAAAACGCCACATCCAGGGAGGTTTTGCAGTTGAGTGTGTTTTAGGAAGGCTGTTGTGTTCTAAGTTTTGAGGTTTTTAGTTTTGTTTTGGTGAGAGTTTTACTGCGGTGGGGAACGATACAGCAGAATTTGTTTGTTTGGTTCAGCTTCAGCACACATCCACAAACTCAACGATTGATTAATTATATCCTCGGAGGGATTAAACACCTCTTTAAGGAGCTTTTACACAGGTTTTGGAGAGCTGCTCAGTCGAGTCTGGCCATCGAGTGAATGAACACAACACAGAGTGTGTGTGTGTGTGTGTGTGTGTGTGTGTGTGTGTGTGTGTGTGTGTGTGTGTGTGTGTGTGTGTGTGTG